TATTATTATTATTATTACAATAAACAATTACTGGCAAAAGTCACTCATCCCTTCCTTCCCAACAGCTCGAATTAAGTTCTCATTTTGTTAGGGTGCATTGTGCTGTAATACAGTTTGTATATATATATATATACACAGGGTGACCAAAGAGTCGGTCCTATCGGAGACAGACGTTAAACTAGGAGGTCCCGCCCCTTAAATAACCTAATAGTGTTGATAGGGGCGGCGGGGCGTTAAACCCATACCATTTCACCATTTTATTTTTTTTAAACCAAAAAGTCACGTACCATCCTCAAAAACACACTTATTGTTCACAGATGCTCAAATTGAGCACCATTTTAATTAAAAATACAACTATCTACTCTCCGTAAAAAGCTGTTTTTTCACTTTCCTTAGGGTATCTGTACGGATGTTGTGACATTCAATTGTGATTGCATCACGTCTCATTTCGTCAAGAGAGCGTGGACGGAGAGAAAAAACTTTTAGGAAGGTGCGTGACTTTTTGGACACCCTGTATAAGTATTTTTATGTAATTAGTAACGAGAGATGACGGTAAGCTACGGTTAACACATCTTGTAGGAATTTGAGCCACAAACATGGTCTCCGTGTACACAAAGTTACAAACTCACTCGATCCTGAAAGATGGGGATGGGGGATTGGGGGGGGGGGGGGGAGGTTGGAGAAAGAGGGGGCTTCATAAAGAAAGATGTGTAAGTGTAAGTATTATTTAAAAAAGAGAATAATAATTTTTTTTAAAATAGGGTAAAGCATCGTACAGAGCTGTGAGATATTCTCACTCGATTACACTCAATCTTTAAAAAAGTGGAAAAATGGTCTAAAAAGCCAGTATCAGTAGGGTAGGGGAAAAAATGGGGGTGGGGGGTTGGGTTTAACCCTATCCGTACGCCCTGGGGTCATTTTGTACCCCCGGGGTTGTATTCTTTACATTTTAGAACACTTCTAGTACGAAGATCTCTTTGAAACTTTCAGCATTTCTCAAAAAATCATTTTGACAGACTGCTATGCAAAGCGCACGGATCAGATTAACGAGTAAATTTCCTCTTTGGAAAGTGGTGGCACAAAGTTCCCCACGTCGTATGGATACCATAGTAAAACACAACGTACGGATAGGGTTAAAGAACAAGAGACATTCACTGTCCGAGGGAGATTATGGATACAAAAAACTGAGCAAACTAACAAGCAATATAACAAACTTTAAAAAGAAACAAATGCATTATCATGTTGATCGACAAAAAAACTCCAGAACAATAAACAGCTATCAGGCTTGAGCAGCCTTCAACATTTGACAAGCATGATGACGACGATGATGACAAAAAATGAGGTCATTGCAAAGGGGAGAGGGAGAGGGAGAGAGAGAGAGAGAGAGGGGGAGAGAGAGAGAGAGAGAGAGAGAGAGAGAGAGAGAGAGAGAGAGAGAGAGCATCTGACAATATTATGTTACAATTTACGGGCAGCATCGGTCAGAGTCTGCACCCATGAGGTATGGTCAGATTATATCATGAAGATACAGATGGGAAAATCCCCATTTCTCACTTGAACTACACAATTGTTACCGTCAAAGAAATAATAGCAATGAATTGAATATTCATTCTTAGATTGATGAATTGAATATTCAATAATTAGACGAATGAACTGAATTTTCATTTATGACTGTCTATACCAATGAATGAATTGCTTAGAGTAGACTATTAAACTGAACATTCATTTAGACTAATGAATTGAATAATCATTTAGACTAATGAATATATATATTCATTTCGACAAGTCTAGGTGCAGCAGCTTACACGGTGGGGTGGGGGGGGGGGGGGGGGAGACATGTCAGTTGAGAACGTCCACTTGCACAGATGAAGTAACTGATACTTTAGAGACACACTGCTATTCCTTGTTTTGACCCCCCCCCCCCCCACATCAACCTAGTAATAATATTAATTCATCATTATCATTATTATCAATCTTAAAAAATCACCACGTCCTCATGAAGTGACTTGCCATCTTTTTTTAACCACTCCACTGCCCAGCACTAAAACATCTGCTCTCTTCCACTTCAGATGTACCAAATTACAGGCTACAGGATCTCCACAAGGGCAAAAGCAAAGCAACTTCTTCTCCCCTGCCTTTACCACAGACAATACCCAATATTGCCGCAAAGAACAAATTTCAAAGATCTCTACCTTTTTTGACATGTCATCGGGTTGGAGGGCACGCGCTCAAAGGCTACTAAATCAACAACAACAACAGCAGCAACACCAACAACAAATCCTTTCACTGCCCCGCCTCCTCTGTAGTCTTACAAGAGCCAAAGACATTTCCAAGTGATGCAACGAAGCAGAGTTTAAAAAAAACAAACCCATCTATTTTTGGTTCAATTTGAAATTTGAAAATCTGTGCAAGTCACTGGAGATTATTACTGTGCATGCAAAAGCATTCAGCTCTCACTGCAAAGCTGCGCTGATGTGTGTGTGTGTGTGTGTGTGTGTGTGCGTGCGTGTGTGTGTATGTGTGATGGTGGTGGCGGTTGGGAATGGTGGTGGCGGTCGGGGGTGGTGGTGGGGGTGGGGGTGGGGGGACGTTAGCTATACAAAGTGGAATAAAACAAAATTATGAACAAACAAAATGCAGATGCTGCTCCTTGTTCAACTATAGATGCGGGTCTTTGTAAGTCTCAACAATATTATTATCATTATTATGCTGGTTCAGGGTCAAAAGACAGAGTCTCTTCACTTCCCTCTGTTTCACTACACTACACCGACAGGGTCGCTTGAGAACAATGTGGGTGGACAGGTCAACTTTAACAAAAAGACGTCCTAAAGTTCATTTAGTCCACGCCAATCAGGAAAAAAGACACTGGATGAGCACTAATGGTTTAGCAGACATCATGAGAGAAAAATACAACAACTCATCTTAAACCCCCCCTTCCCCCCCCTTCCCCCCCCCCCAGTAAACAATAAAACGATAAAACCTTATGTATGTACATGATGCTTGATTCTCATCTTTGAAAACAAAGAGAAAAAAAAATTGTAATCCTGCCATGTTTTGATCCCTGTTGAATTATGCTCTCGAACCATAAAAATCAATCATCAAAAGTGCAAAAGTTAAAGCCTAGTAATAACAGATGATAATGATACGAGGGGCCAATTTTACATCTTGAAAGGAAAGAAAACTCGAGGGGTAGGGGCGTCATACATCTTCATGTAAGGAGAAAGCAAACCTCGCAAAAAATCAAATTAAAATAAAGCAACAAGCAAACAAACCAGCATCAAAGTCATCATCTCACTGAGCAAAAGCAACACAGCAAATCGTGAACGGATCACGACACACATACGATAAGGCAGCTGGCCTCTGCCGGTTACTGCCATAATGAAACTTGACCATAATTAATGAACAGTGTGAACAGTGCTGGTCCCAGCTTTCGCCCGGGCGTATTACAGTTAAAAACTTGGCATAATGTACACGACTTTAAAAAGTACTATCAGCTGTAATGTTCGCTTTCTGAAACCCACCCCCCCCAGCTCCATTTGGTATTTCTACTGAACTCTTTTAGGCCATTATGTACCGCACCTCGGTTACGATATATATTCAAAATCCTGGGTCCGGAGAAAAGACATCAAACCAAGGTTTTACTGTACTTATTATCAGGGTGCTTCATGAGTGAGACCGGCGGGTGTGAGGAAAATGAAATGTCTTCATCGCTGCTTGGCATAAAGACAAACAGCTGCTCAGATGTACAATGCCCTTTACGTTTATGTTTCCGATCCAGCGGCCGTCTGAGTTCTAGCCCTCCGGCCTGAAAACAGCGTCCAAAACTTTGAAATTTTTCTTTTCATTGCAGTTTCTTCACCATCTGTGGCATCTGTTGCATGCGCTTGAGAAATATACGAAATCCAAATTTGAATGCTAAAATTAGAAGTAAAAAAAGATACGTAATGGTACGAGATCTATGGCACTCGCAAAACTTCATAAGGTCATATGATGCGGGCAGTACTGCATACAGACGTGTCTCAAAGGCCGCTAAAAGTGACTTGCGTCTGTGTGCAATACTGCGCGCGATGAGTTCAAAAGACACACATTGCTGGCCCAGTTGTTAAAAGAATGCAACAGTTTTCTCTCTCCTTACTTTAAAATATTGCTTTTTGGGCTTAGAACAGTTGAACAGCTTGCCAAAGACAAATAGCCTGTATATGAAACGTCAAGCCTGCTGACAAAATGAGTTACTTCTCGGATTCAAGCCTTAAGGAAATAGATACATCACGTTTATAGGTGAAGTTTTTACAATTTATAAGTACGAAATAATAAAAGATGGGTTAAAGTAAAAAAAAAATGTCATCAATAGAAAATCTACAAATCTGACCCGCATGTTGATTTTTGGCCAATATCTGTGTTTGAGGATTGTCAGAAGTAACTCATTTTGTCAGCTGCGCGCCTCACAAAGGGTGACAAAAAGGTCGAGGGCTTGTCCTGTACACAGGGGAGGGAAAAAAAGATCAAACGCTCAATCCAATAAGCAAGAAAGAGAAAAAATGAACCAACATGACGACAACTGAAATGTGACCAGCCGAGCATGGTCGGACACAAAACTTGAACCTGGTCACAGCAGGATTCAAACTCTGAAGCCAGAAAATATAAAGATCATGGTGCCTCTCGCGCCAGGAATCACAAAACTTGAACCTCGTCACAGGAGGATTCAAACTCCGAAGCCAGAAAATATAATGATCATGGTGCCTCTCGCGCCAGGAATCACAAAACTTGAACCTGGTCAGAGCAGGATTCAAACTCCGAAGCCAGAAAATATAAAGATCATGGTGCCTCTCGCGCCAGGAATCACAAAACTTGAACCTTGTCACAGCAGGATTCAAACTCCGAAGCCAGAAAATACAATGATCATGGTGCCAGGAATCAAACTCCAAAGCCAGAAGCCTGAACTGAACGTGATAAGTCCTACACCTCCTGTGACGCACAAAAATTGTACTTTGTTTTCTTTCTTTCTTTTTTTTTTTTGCGCATCATATTCTACTGATGTCGAATCCGCGCAAAGGTCACATGCACCACTATGAACAGGGACAAAAACTTTTTTTCTCGTATCTCTTGGTAGAGACGTAGACCAAGCTAGGGTGACACGAACACAATCTACTGTCACTTCTTACAGCCACAAGACAGCTTCTTCTCACAAATAATCCCATTATTAAAAAAATATAAAAAAAAGAAAATGAAATTTTTGCTCCTTGATCATTCTGCTCAGATATAATACACAAAAGAAAACGAGAGAGCAATGCAAATTTTATACAGATTTTTTCGAGAAATGTACACAGACTTTCTTTCTCTCCGGTGGGAATGAGGGCTGTACTGCTTCAACATTTCTCAAGTCAACAAGAGAATGGAGTTTAAAAAAAAAAGAGAGAGAGAGAGAAAGAAAGAGAGAGAGGGAGAGAGAATTAATCTCACTATACGCTCCCTCCAAAGCATATATAATACTTCAACAGTATCGAATAAGGGAGCAAAATCTAACTGGATTGTTTCCCCTCTACAGGACTTCACAAGACACACGATTCATTATAAACATATTTCACAGTACTTAACTTCTGATTGAAGTTTTAAAAAAATAAGTAAAAGTACATACATACATCTCACCACCCACTTCCAACACAGCAGGCAGATTTCTTTCATCATCATAAGGGAGCGAAATTAAATGGATTGCTTCACCTCTAGAGACTTCACAATACACGTAAAAACACATTTCACTTTGCCTTATCGCTCAAACTTCGGAAGGAAGTAAAAAAAATTACAGCTCACCAAACACTCCCCACACAGCTGATTAAGATATTCTTTTTTCAACAGTATCGAACACAGAGCAAAAACTGGCTGGTTTGCATCACGTCTAGATATTTCCTAAAACGCAGAAATGTATTTCACGTCACACACACATATATGTTATATATATATACCCTATCGCTTCAACTTCCGAAGCATCCAGAGTTTGAGGAACAATACTTTTACAAAAACAAAAACACAGAAAAAAACCCAACCCCCCCCCCCCCCCCCCAAAAATAAAAAATCAGTTGGAGCATTTCACACAAACAAAAGATTACTTGATCATTATACAATCTAGATGAGGTGATATTTGAGTCAGTCAGAAAAAAAAAACTTCACACTCCTAACACTTTCCCACTCCTGTACAAATCTTCAGAGGAAAGGAGAGTAAAAAAACCCCAAAACAACTAAAAAAACCCAACCCAACAGATTCTGAGATAGAATCTGGCAACAAAAGCAAAGTCTCTACTACAAAGGTAAGAAAAAGATAATAACTTGATAATGTTGATAATTTTATATTACAAAAATAGTGATGATAATCATCAAAATAACAACAATAGTACTTATATCGACACCAATAATAAGTTTGAGCTTTCAACTTTTTCCAACTGTGCTCAAGACTTATCATAGAGGCATAACGAGTAAATGCAATGCAAGCCATAACAAACTGATTTAATTAAAGCCTAAAAAAAAAATGATTGAATTCAAGCTTCTCTCCAATTTGATTGATTAAAACAAGAAAACTCATGACATTAACTGGCTCAAAGATTAGCACCAGCATACAGCTTGAACATTTACATGGCAAAATATGCCTACAGACGATGTAATATACCTTTAGCATCCCTTTTAAATATTATTCGATTAAAAAAATAAAATAAAAATAATCCCATGACCTAAAAAAACGATGACGGAAGAAGCTAAGTTAACAAAACATCTCATGATGTAAAAAAAACAATGAGGGGGAAAAAACTAAGTTATTGTGCCTCTTTCACGTAAGTTTTCGGGAAGAATCCACATCTGCCGTCTATCTCCCCCTCCCACCAGTTCTCGTCAGACTTGGCGATCAGACGGATCAGGTCGCCTTTCTTCAGTTCCAACTCCTCTTGATTGGCTGGGGCAAAGTCGTACATGGCTTTGAAAAACTGAAATACAAATTTAAAGAACAAAAAACGTTCAGGGGAGGGGAAAAATTAACTGCTTATGTGTGGATTTTATTGGAAAGGGTTGATTATAGGTACCAAAAATGTCAGCTTTCAGTTGCCAAGGACTCTCAAGCCTTAAGTCACCAAATATTTCCGTATATGGCTTTGAAAAACTGAAATACAAAATTAAAAAAAAAAAAGTTCAGGGGAGGGGAAAAATTAACTGCTTAGTAAATTTGTTTTTATTAGTATATGGTGGTTGCTTGTAAGGACAGGCGGGTTAACCCAGATTTTCGGGGGGGGGAAATCTCGACCTAAACCAAAAGTGGGCATCGCCCTAACTATAGAAGAAGTTTGGTTTCATTGGTGTGTATATTTATTTGGTTATAGAGAAAACTCTCCTTGTATTTTAAAGAAATTGAACAAGGGTCCAAAAACTTTACCTCCGATTTACTCAAAACAGCATTTTCTGGGAAAGCCCACTTGTGCTTAAAGGCAACCATACATGAGTAAAGAGACAACAGACAGACCAAAAAAATGCACTGAATGGAGACCAAGAGCTATAAAAAAGATCAGTTTTTTTGTTTTAGTAAAGTTTTTAGTAACAGCGCTCACAATTGCATGAGGTCATATAAGCGCCAAGTGGTGGATGTCAACAGAGAAATCTTTACAGGAAATCAGACTTACTCTGGTCACCTCTTTAGCTTCAACAGCACAAAGTCTGCTTCGATTATCAAGGCACCCCGAAAATAGCAGTTCACAAGAGTGTGACAAACATACAAAAGAAGTAGAAGAAAAATGACGATAGTAAGGATTAGGAAAACAAAAGAAGCAGTTCCCTGTTGCAGTTCAGGCACAGTTATGAGCATGACATTGATGAATCAACCCATCTACAATTCTACTGTGCATTAGAACAGGTTTTAATGTCCCCCCTTTGGGAATGGCCAAAAGACACTTGAACTTCAGTCAGTGGCACCGCCCTAGGGGGTGGAAAAACCAGACCCTAAACCGCAAGATGAAATCAGAGCAGACAGGACATAGAAAACACCTGACAAAACAGAGTGGAGGTTATTGCCTTGTTTTAGTAAGAGTTTTACTGCACTTGCGACACAATAAGGTCACATAAGTGCCGAAGAATAGATGTGTTACAAGAGAGAAGCATACACAAAAAGAAGGAGGGGAGATAGGATGGATGATAGACGTTTGATAGGAAAGAAGGAACAAACCACACTAGAGCACTCGCCAACCACCCAAGTTGGAGGAATGCATCCTGCAGTGGACAAACAATGCCAAGAAAGAAAGAAGAATGAGTAAAGAAAAGCACAATAACCAGTGAGGAAAAGGCCGCAAATATTTAGTGACTTAAGGCTTGAGTGTCCTTGGCAACTGAACACATAAATGTATTTTTAAATGGACATAAAATGAGTCAAGCCAAAAAACCCCCCCAAAATTCAATAAACTTTGCCAAACTGGCAGGAAAATGGCGGTATCTTTGATTTCATAAGTTTGACAAGCATCAGATTTCACCACAATGTCTCACATGCTGCAGCCTTATTTCAAAGAACTTGTGAGGGCATCAGAGCTGATGTCGGCAGTCAACCATTAACCATTATTTTCACTCCCGTGGAGCGCAAAAGATTGAAAACACAAAAAGATTTCTACACGATCAGGAACTTAAACAAATGCACTGCCACTGCCAGTGAATAATGCAAATAGGAAAGGGTAAACCGCTTCACTGCTGCTCGGCGTACAATGTACGTCCATAAATTGGGCGACGTACAGTGTACGCCCGGCAATATCGCTGTTTTCTTTCGTTTCCTAATCAGCTGGTAATTGCAATTCAGCATCGAGAGTGGGCTCCCCAGAAAGCTCTTTTCTTCCCGAGTTAGAGAAGTTTTAGTTTGCCCTAGTTAGACCAATAATGACGGAAATAGCGTGAATTACAGTGTCACTGATCAGTCACTCTGTCTCTTCACAGTTCTAACGTCTCACTCTAGCTCCGAGCTACGGCTGATCACTCGCGACGTATGCTCTCAGCGTATCAAGCTATCGAAGAAATTTTTGCTGATGATGATAGCGCTTCATTCATTTCCCTTCAGAATATTGACATTGTTATGTATTTGATTCACTACCACAGAGTAAATAGCACTCTAAAAGGTTCATCCGTTTGAGTGCTATTCCTGGAAACAAGGTCAGCATAGGGCGGGAAGTATAGGTCAGCAGTGAAGGGGTTAAGATGGAGTAGAATTTTATGGTAACTTACCTCCCGCTTCATGTCCTTTAGATGCATTATCCTCCTGGGATCACCAGAAACATTTTCAGTGCGATATCGTTCCACCAATTGGTTGATGGAGAAAGAAGAAGTGGTCCAAATGTAAAATTTGTTGTTCGCGTCCCTGAGAATTTTGAAGTGCTGTACTGACTCCTCGTGCCTGTGTTGAAGAGTTTTTGTTTGTTTTAGTAAGTGTTTTACGGCACTTGCAACGCAAGGTCATATAAGTGACTAAGATTAGAGGTGTTACAAGAGAGTAACAGACACAAAAAAGAAGGAGAGATAAGGACGACAGATGTTTTTAAAAATTTTTTTTATAGTAGACGGTTTTACGGCGCTCGCAACTGCATAAGGTCATATGAGTGCCAAGGGGTGGGTGTCAACAGAGAAGTCTTTACAGGGAATCAGACTTAGACTGCTCACCTCTCAAGCTTCAACAGCAAAAGGTCTACTTCGACTATCAAGGCACCTCAAAATAGCAGGTCACAAGGGAGTGACAAACATACAAAAGAAGTAGAGAAAAATGATAATAGTAAGGATCAGGAAAGAAAAAGCAGCAGTTCCCTGTTGTAGATAAGGCACAGTTATGAACGTGACATGAATCAGCCCATTAACAATTCTACTATGCTTGAACGAGATATATCCCCCCTTTGGGAATGGCCTAAAGACACTTCAGTCAGTGGCACTGCCCCGGGGGGTACAGATGTTGGATAGGAAAGAAGGAGCAAACCACACCAGAGCACCCACCAACCACCCACGAGCCATTTCCATACTCACTTCACGGATAAAGAAAACCCATTTGAATCTGTTTCTGCTTTGCGGACAACAAAGTTGCCGTCCTCGTGAATGAAGGAACCAACGCAGTTTTTCTTGAGCAGCATCGCTTCGGCATCTGCCCGAGTCATTGGGTTCTGGAACCATCTGTAGGTAGAGGAATGAGTTTGCTTGACATTTGAGAAAAGAGAACCACATTGATACAACATGCTTGGAATTGGATGGGGTGCCTGCAGAAGTTCAAGACTTAGTGGGAGGAGCAGGAGGCTATGGAATCAAACATTGCTTGGAACCGTCAGCATCTACACACTTCGAGATGTGCTTTTTCAGGGGACGGAGCGCTTATGGAGATGTCCCTTGTGCAGTGATGTCGGTCCTTCACACAAGTAACACAAGTATTTACAACAGTGGTTATTTATTTCCTGGCAAAAAGTAAGGAGAGAGGAAGGCAAAGAAGGAAAGAGGAGGACAACATCACAGAGCGGACAGGGAAGACGAAGGGTGACAATCTGAGGAAAGCAGAGGACAGAGAGAAATGTCGAGAGCTGGTTGTCAGAGGCAGTGGTGCCCCCACAGTTGCCCCAATCACGGGACAGAAGAAAAAAAAAAAGTAAGACAGATGGACAGAAACAGCAGTGGGCCAGTACAGAAGTAACACCTACCGCGGGCTACCTCCAACTACCCACATGGATGAAATGAGGATTTTGCACGAATTTAAAACCTCATATCAACAAGAGAATCAACATGATCACATTAATTTCTTTGATAAGGGTCATTTGTCAAAAATGGTTGAAAGCGCGTGTTGCTACTGATTCCATTTCGGGAGAATGTTGCCATCTGGCAAATTTACGTCTTAATTGGATGCTCTAAACTTAAAATATTAGTAGTAATAGTAGTACATTTCATGTCGCAAACTTCTCTTTCAAGCACTAAAATTTGACTTGTTAACACAGAAAGGTCTTGTGATGAAGACATCGTCCCCCCCCCCCCCCCCCCCCCCCGAAAAAAAATATAAAAAATCCGGAGACTTTTGCTGTGTAACTGATCTCACACAAACAAAGCAGCTTGCTGTTCCGATGACCTAGTGGTCCTCGTCTTTCAACAAGATGTGCCCACAAGTTGTACAAGGTTTATTTTTCATACACAGTTGAAATTTGAAATTGTCCAAGAAAATTGTCGAGGAGAAAGGGGTCGTCTTAGACAGATGGATGTCTTTGACAGTGTTATAATATTTCTAAAAACTGAATGGAGAAAATAAGTGGCTGTTTGCACAGGTAACTGCCTTTGACAGGTGGCCTTTTGCACAGAGACTGCCTTTGACAGGTGGCCGTTAGAGTGAGCAGCTTTGATTGTATACTGGTGAAAAGCTGAAGTGACTTGGCCTAAAACAATTTAATAATAATGTTGATAATTATTACAGAGCCAATACTCCCATCTGAACACAGATCTAGAGGTGCTTTACATTATATAGATTCTAGTACGTACGAATTAATATTGAATAATACTTTACTTTACATACTGTCAAAAATTAATCTTTGCTCATATGCACACACAAAAGAAATCACACACACACTCACAAATACACACACCATCCACACACAAACACACACATGGTACACTGTCTAATGTAAAAGAGAAAAAATGAGCTCTAAATTATGGTTTCTAGGGTAACATTTGAGAATTTTTATTTCAACTCACTCATTAGGTTCCATTTTGATATATGCAGCAGGAATAAAACCCGAATTTGGCCCCAACACTGCTTTGTACCAGCCATCTTCCTCCATATTCACAACCTGAAGAGAAGAGAGAAAAATAAAACACAAACTTCATTGACCAGTTTCTTTTTGCCATATTATATATATATATCATTTCCAAAATGAAAAGGCCAGCTGTACCTTAGCCTGCCAGTCTAGCCATACTTATGACCTATTGACCTAAACCTGTTGAGAACGCATGTCAGTAGGGCACCTTTTGGTTTCTTCTCAAACAAAAATACTTTAGGAGCTGCATTCTAAAATTTTATTTACAGTTCAGTATTTTTTTTTACACGTCAAACAAGATGGCTATTACTATAAATATCGGCCAAAGGCGTTTAGTTGTCCTTCTCTGGCTATCCGCTTCAATAACTACATCATAAGACATGAAGATTTGATTAATTGGAATTTCTCAGAATGAGAAGAGAATACATTGGATTAGATTAGAAGCTTGTTCTTTTTATTTTAATGGCATTGACCTGAAAAACACACATATTAGGCCTGTTCTTCTCAGCCATTTAGAGTAGAGAGAGAGAGAGAGCACTCTTGTCCATAAAAAACTATAACATTATTTTGAGTTTGAGCACCAGACGCACAAAACCAGCACAACCTCTGTCTCTATGTGCTAAGTGTACAGTACAGAATTATTAGATTATCTAGCAACTGACCCAAAATCTGAGCTCTGAAGCACAAGTGTTTCAGGCTCAGGGACACGCGTCTCAAAGGGTTAAGACCATTTAAGTGGTTAAGACTTAAAATCTAATCTCCAGTTAGTGGAAAGGAGTGGCTATAATATTATCTTTGTCTTATCAAACTTGAAGTAGAGATCTAGACCAGGAAGTTGTTCCACATCTGGATGTATACTTTAACTCAACATTCACAGAAACAGTAAAATTGATAATTCAGTGACTTTATATACTTGGCAGAACATTAAGATTAAAACAAGCTGCTAAGAGCTATTATAAACAGAACATTGTACACTTACACAGAGTCGGTCTCCTCTCCGAAAGCTCATCTCATCAGGCTGATTTGCGGTGAAGTCCCATAGAGCTACCGCTTCCATGATTCGTTCGTAGTTTGTAAGCCGTGTACCAAACCTTTGACTGGAGTATTCGTACCCAGTAAAAATAGCTGTATTCAGCCGATTAATTTGAGTATCTCAGCAGTTGTGAAAAATCGCGCATCGACGAACACAAAAGCAATAATGTGTCTCATAACAAGTTTGTCTACGCAGTTTCTACGCGTTCCTCTCCCCTTTCGTGTTGTCTTCCTGTTACACTCTGCTGTTACACGACTGTACCAGTACGCCGGAAAGGCCCACGGTGCTTACTTCCGTTTTTCATCACGATTACAAACAAAATTAGCCCAGCTGTCGACTAAAGAAAAATAAACCAACAACAAACAACTCCATGATAATAGTTGTACTTATAGATATTAGAATTGAAACACGTGCTTTATATACCCCTGTCTTTGATGATGATAGTTTAAATAAAGACTTCTCAGCATTAGCTTTTTAAAAGACAAAAAAATCGCTCTTACTAATTGAACCATCAGTCTCACTTTTTAATGACCTAAACTTATTTTTTCTTTTCGAGCAAAAAAACCCAAACAAATACGTTACTGCAACTTTTGATTATGGTTTCTATTGCTTTCAGCTGGACATCTGCCCCATTCTATTTTTCAACATTGATATTTCATGCTGCGGTCGTCTTTTATAACTGGCTACGTTTTTTATGCTGACACCGTAAAGCCGAGTGCTGCGCAGCGTTGTTGCGGTCGGAACTACACAACTAGTGGCACTACACACATGAGTGACACAGTGCGAGTGTGTACACGCGCGTGCTCTCAGTAATCGCAGCTGATTGCATTCTGAAAGTAGGCTTGTGGTGGACAGTGAGAGACTGCAGGCTGCACCCATCACGTTTGAGGGGCAAATTTTTTGTCACGTTTCTCAGATTTTATTATTAACGGACACGTCTCAAAGCCCGCACTGAGCTTGACGGACTTCTACTTCTCTGAATGAGGCAGGCCTAGGCCAAAGAAGTCAAAGTCTAAAGTTTTAACGAAAGTATAAGTTTGAGACACTTTCAGCTGGGTGACTCAGTTCTCTGCACTGCAGTCACTGCTCAAGTCTAGTAGATCCACTGCACTCATGAAACAATTTTCATATTCAGATAACATTTAAGATATTTAGCGTTGCCTTATAAGAGATTAATAACAACAAAACAAAAGTGAAAGCGTTAGCCTTGGATGTTGGCTTCATTGTGAAGTTGGAGAAAAATGCCTTTGAATCATGAATCTTTTGCTTTCAAGTACACTCTTTCTGCTACAGCTGCAGTTGTCGCTGAATCTGGTAAGACGACCTCTAGATCTAAATCTATAAATCTATACTTGATTATTGATTTTTAACCTATCATCTGGGAAATACTTAATTTAAAAAAACAACAACTACTCAAGACTAGATTCTAAACTTCTAAAAGTCCTGAGGCATGCTGGCTAAGGTGATTTGCTTTCTGCACCCCCCCCCCCCCCAAAAAAAAAGGGGGAAAACCAAATGAACCCCATGCTCTTCCTGAGGCTTTACTTGACTATTGCTAACATACATCATATATATTGTATTTTCGAATTTTTATTTGTGGTGAACCTAAGAACATTGCAAGTGCTTCAACCCTCTTGTCACAGTCACTTTTTAATCTACTAATTATTTCATGTGTATTCTGTTTACTTATTTACATATTTGTAAAAATTCATATTTAAAATATAATTTATTTATTTGTAATTTTTATTCTTATAACTTATATGCTCTCTCTGGATAGCAGAACCTAACACTGCAAGACTTCAATTAGTGAGAATGTGGTGTCTCGACGGTCACTGTTTCAATAACTGAATTGTAAAAAAAAAAAGAAAGAAAATGTGTATTTTACTGCATGTTCAAAGGATTGTGTAGAAAATTAAGAGAAAACAATTTTGAAAAACAAAATGATGTTTTAGGCACTAGCAGAGACTAATGGGTCACACATTTTTAGTTTCAGTTATCTTTAAAAGTTTTTATTTCGAGAATATATACTAATGCACTTCTTTATTTTTGCCAACTCTGTTTGAATGTGTATTCGTTATTTTTAATTTCTTTTTAAAAGCGTTTATTTTTTTACCTGACAGTCACATACCCTCTGGATTTGACAAAGACACGCTTACAGATCCAAGGGGAAGTGTCGAAGCATGCAGAAGGGTCGTCTCACTCGCGTCCTCACAGAGGCATGCTTGCCACAGCTGCTGGGATTGGTATGTGTATAATACATCTATACTATATATATAAGGTCGCTTTTAGGGACGAGAGGGCTATAACCCATATTTCGGGGGTTTCCAGAAATTTTGACGTACCAAAAGTGGGCATTGCCCTGCCTATAGAAGTTTGGTTTCATTGGTGTGTATATTTTGTTTGGCTATAGATAAAACTCTCCTTGTCTTTTAAAGTAAAGAAACTGAACAATAGGCAATAACTTAATCTTTGATTTTCTCAAAACAGCATTTTTCGGGACAGCCCACTTGTGCTTAAAAGCGACCATATGAGGGGCTGAGATGAAAAACCCGCTACATTCATTTTAACACTTTTGAGAAAATCGTCTCTTTTAAATGCTGCTATACGCACAAATATATATGAGTTAAAAGATTTTTTGGTGGCTTTTATGAAGTATGTGTTGGGTTTGGGCCGGAAACACTTTGTGCATCTGATAGCCTGTAAAAATGTGCATTTTTAAAAGCAAAAAAATCTCGATTTTTTCTAAAATTTCGCTTAGCGGGTTTTGCATCTCACCCCCTCATATATAACATTATATCTTTATAGGATTGTTTAGATGCTGGATGGTTCTTCTTTTTTGAGTGGGTCTTTATGGATGAGATTGACAGATAAAGTCATTAACAGGGAAAAGTATTTGATGAGAGCCATACTGAACCCAGTCGGAGATGAAGTTGGAAAGCGCGGTGGTAATGGATTGGACATACCCTCAGGAAGCCAGGCAGCTGTATGACAACAAAATTAATGCGTTGGATTGGAATCCCAGGGTAAGATCAGGTCAAGAGGAGGCCATATGGAGCCTGGGAAAGAGTCACAGAGAATGATGAATAGAAAAGTGGAAAGACATGAAACGATGTCAGAAAGCTGGCCCAAGATAAGGAAAAATAGAAAGAGTTTGTCGGCGGCTATACCCTGATCCAGGAAGAGTGAGAAAAGCAATGAAGATGGTGATTTGTCTTTCTCATTTATAAACTTTATTGAGATGAAGGATTAACCATGTGAGAAGACCAGACTGGTGCTGTTTCTTTAAATTGTTACAGACTTAGAAGTTAATTTGCAACATTTTTTTACAGGCAAGTGAATCAGTAGAAAAGCTATTGATTGATTAGTATTCAGTGTTCTTAGAGAGTTCTTCCATTTTCACTCTGTTTGGAAAATTAAAGTGATACCGTTCATGTGAATGTATTTTTAGAAGAAATATAAAAAAGCACACATCTGTGTAAGGATGAATGTTGCTTTTTCTTTTTATATGGTCATTTTGTTAACAGCTCTCTGTTGGAATTTGTGTGTATGTGTTGCATATCATGTCACTGGTTTGAAAATAGAACTATTACTTTTATCATAATATTGCAGTCCAAACTAATTTGCATAAGTATGTGTATGTCAGGTATTTTGCTTATGATTTTGTTCCAGAAACGTCTTTTTACTAATGGCTGTTTTTGTCTCTTAACAGCAAAGGAGGAAGGTGTGCGGAAATTATGGCAAGGAGTAACCCCGGCATTGTACAGACACGTTGGTATGTCCTCAGTACATGCTCATAATATTGAGAGCTTAAAAGTAAATTTTTGTCAGGACTTTCGAAGTTTTTCGGAGTGACCGTTATTTTTAGTTATCAGCTTCTAGTCAGTTGCTAGGTGAGTATACAATGCAGTATTGATGATGACTATTGAGAGACTGGGAAAGCTCTTGATATGTTGTTCGTCCTTCTCATTTGAAGATGACCATGACTTCACAAATTGGTCTGTTGACGGTTACTGTGAGTCCGGAGATGGCTGATTAGTCCTATTCGGGCTCGAAAGGTTCGCCCACATTGTGGGCACGGGTAGTCTGCTGTTGGACTTGTGGTGGAGGCAGGTCTGGACTTGCGCACGTTGCTCTTGATATAATCTTTATACAGATACATACCATACAGTGTCACGTTATATGATAAATCCTTTTTTTTTTTTTTTTTTTTAAAATAAAGAAAATACCACCCCCGGGGCAGTGCCACTGACTGAAGTATCTTTAGGCCATTCCCAAAGGGGGGACATTTCTCATTCAAGCATGTAGAATTGTACATGGGCTGACTCATGTCACGCTCATAACTATGCCTGATCTACAACAGGGAACTGCTGCTTTTTCTTTCCTGATCCTTACTATTGTCATTTTCTTCTACTTCTTTTGTATGTTTATCACTCTCTTGTGACCTGCTATTTTGGGATGCCTTGATAGTGGAAGCAGACCTTGTGCTGTTGAAGCTAGAGAGGTGAGCAGACTAAGTCTGATTCCCTGTAAAGACTTCTCTCTTGACACCCACCCCTTGGCGCTCATATGACCTTATGCAGTTGCGAGCACCGTAAAACCCTCTACTATAAAAAAAAAGAAGAAGAAAATACAATGGAATGAATATACAGCACAGCTTCGGAGGAGAAGACTTACAAAAAAAGATGTCTACAGTATTACAATGACACTGTCAAAAAGTCCACCTGTTTAAGACAACCACTTATCTCCTGAACAATGGGTGACCATCATGGATAATTTCACCTTCACGTGATCAGAACAAAATAAGGAGGAAACTTTCTATCTTTTCAATAATGTTGAACTTACTGATTTGCCAAGCATTTAACCCTATCCGTACACCTGGGGTCATTTTGTACCCCCAGGGTTGTATTCTTCACATTTTAGAATACTTCTAGCACGAAGATCTCTTTGAAACGTTCAGTATTTCTCCAAAAATCATTTTGACGGACTGCTATGCAAAGCGTACGGATCGGATTAACGAGTAAATTTCCTCTTTGGAAAGTGGGAGCACAGAGTTCTCCACATCATATTGATACGATAGTAAAACACAACGTACGGATAGGGTTAAATAGATACTTTCATTCAGCTTTTATATTATTATTATTTTTATATAATCCGTGAATGTATGGCAACAAGTGTGAGTGACACAACACGACCACAGTTTTTGACTGAATCAAAAACGTTTTAACACAGCTGTAATATTTTAATGCATAACTTTGTGTTGACAGGTGGTTGTTTCTCGTGGCGTAGCATATATGAGGCGTGCTGACAAAATGAGTTACTTCTCGCAATGCACAAATGGAGATATTGGCCAAAAATTGACATTAGGGTCAAATTCGTAGATTTTTTAAATTGATGCCATATTCTTTAACGATAATCTGTCTTTTATTATTTCATACTTATGAATTGAAAAAAACTTCACCTGTAAGCGTAATGTATCTATTTCCTTAAGGTTTGAATGCGAGAAGTAACTCATTTTGTCAGCTCGCTTCACATATATGTTATATGACACCGTCGATTTATTAGAAGGGCCTTGTAAAAAGTTTTTATGTTTATTTACTTTCACAAAGATAGTGTGCTGTAACCAGCTCTGATGCGAGAGTGAAAACGAATTTGAAATGATATGACACTAAAATATGTGTGATCAGAAGGGCTAAGAAAATGACATGATACTGCTTAAATCATAGATTTATTAAGTATTGGAGTTCTATTGATGAAATCACTTATCACAATTAATGTTGAAGGAATCACTTACATTCTACGCGGGCCTGTCACTTGGAAGAATAATATATTTGATGTTTTCAACTTGTTAGTTTTTTCCACGTTATTTTTCTCCCTGATTTTGGTAACTGTGTGTATTCTATCTTCTTTCCGCAGTTTACTCCGGTTGCAGAATGAGTTTTTATGAAATATTACGGGAGAGAGTCTTCAAAAAGAACCCTGATGGAACCTTTCCTCTATGGTAAGTTGACTTATACTCTTTGCAGATGTGTGCGTTAACTATGATATAATGTTATCTATCCTCTGACTTTTATTCATTATGGAAACTATTTATCAAATGAGTGTTTTATATGATGTGATGTTGGCCAATGGCCTTAAACACTGAATCGACTTACTTACTATCCTTTGACTTTCAAAACTCACCAGCTGGTCACTTGATGTGCTGACTGTGAAGAAAATAGAAAATTATGCTTTCAATGCTCATTTTCTTTAAAATCTTTTTTATGTAAGTTACTTTTTAAATTTCATAACTATTATTTAGAGTTGTCTGACTAGTATTCACAGGTTACTGAGATAAACAATTTGATTTACTCTGTAAGATCATCACTCTTCAGTCAGACCTGATCTGAACAGTGGGTAGTTGGCGGGTGCTCTGGTGTGGTTTGCTTCTTCTTTCCTATTGAACATCTATCGTCCTTATCTCCCCTTTTTCTTTTTTATGTTTGTTACTCTCTTGTAACACCTCTAATCTTGTGGCGCTCGTATGACCTTATACACTTTCGAGCGCCGTAAAACCTGTACTAAAAAAAAAATGATTTAACAGCCACCTGTATAAGACACTGGCCTGCCCTAACGGCCACCTGTATAAGACTATAACCTGTGTAACATTGAATACAGTCAATCCTGCTCTTATATATAGCCATCTGACCAAGACAATCACCTGTACAAATGACCTCCTTACACTTTCTCCCTATATATATGCAGTCGAAATTGTGTGTGGTGTCGGTGGCCTAGTGGTTAGGCTACCAGACTCGTAATCCTGAGATTGCGGATTCGGGGGTTCGAGCTTCAGCTTGGTCCAACATTGTGTCCTTTGGAAAGGCACTTTACAAGAATTTCCTATTTGGTTTGGTCTTTTCGGAGATGGATGTTAAACTCGAAGGTCCCGCCTTTTAAATAACCTAACAGTGTTGATAGGGGTGTTAAACCCATACCATTTCACCATTATTTTTTTTCCTGTCGAAATTGTCTAAGACAGCAACCCATTGTGGAGGAGAAAAGTGGCCATTTTACGCTGTGTCATTCTAATGTAAAAAAAGCACAAGATGGGAAATGGAAAGTAGCAGCTTGTACAGGTGATTGTCTTGGACAGGTGGCTATGAGAGCAGGTTCGACTGGGTTCAATGATAAACATGTTGTTATCTTACACAGGTGACTGTCTTCTACGGGCGGCTGTTAGAGCATATTATAGTCTTATACAGTGGGCCATTAGAGCATGTTATAGTCTTATGCAGGTGGCCATTAGAGCGGGTTGGACTACATTTTAACACAATGCCCCCAGGGGATGCCGATTGGCGACAGTAAGAAGGCCATCCCTTTTCCCATCGAGACGCCGATCGGCGACGGTGTGATATAGCGTGTACCGCACCTGTATCCTGGTCCGTGGGGATAAGTGTTGTGCACTCACGTGCTGCGTGAGTGAAAATTGTCAATGATACCATTTGAGACGTCCACCTGTCTAAAACAACCATTTTTCTCTTGGACAATGGGTGATGACCGTTTTGGACAGTTTTGAACTATGTTTTCACTTCTCTTCTCTCCAGGAAAGCATCGCTCTCAGGTCTTCTTGCTGGTGCTGCGGGTCAGTTTATTTCTAGCCCAACGGACCTGGTCAAAGTTCGAATGCAAATGGAAGGAAAACGACGTCTGGAGGGTAAACCTGTCAGGTAGGGAAGACTCGATATTGTTTTAGGAATGATGATAATGATAAAGGTGAAGTAGGTTTGAGCAGTTCTGACTCATCCTGGTATGTATATATAGAGTTAGTTACAATAGTACTCACTCATCCTTACAGTGTGTAAAGATAAAGTAGGTCTAGATAGGCCCATCCTCACAGTATGTAAAGATAAGATTGGTGACAATTGTGCTCACCCATCCCGGTGTGTGAAGGTAAAGTTGATTTAAATTGTGCCCATCCTCACAGTATGTAAAGATAACTTAGGTTTGTTCAGTGCCCTTCCATCCCAGTCATCATCATCTAGTGCCAGATCTGCGACAGACATCGGCGATCATGATTTTCCATTCATTCCTTTGCTCGGATGCTCTAAAAAAAGCTACGTTTCCCTGATTTTTCCCTGTTACCCATTTGTTTAGGTTCCCTAAGTATGTTGTTCTGGGCCTACCCCTGCCTCGCTTGCCCTCAATTTTGCCAGTGAGAGCTAGATGTTCAAGACCCTTATGTCTATTCAGGTGTCCCAAAAACTGCATTTGTCGTTTCCTGATTGTTTTTAACATTGAGTGTCCCACGTGGGCTTCATCAAGCACTACCTCATTTGATTTCTTTTCCTTCCATGATGCTCTTAGCAGTCTCCTAAGAAACCACATTTCTGTTGCCTCTATTTTATTTTCACTGTCTTAAGTGATTGTCCAGCATTCACAGCCATATAGAAGGGTTGACCAAACATAGCATTTCAGGACTTTCATTTTGGTGTTCATGGAGATGTTTGTATTTTTCAGGATTGGGCTCATTTTATTGAAACTAGCCTTAGCCATTGCAGTTTTCCTTTTTATTTCTGTTGAAGATTTGGCATCAGATGTTATCATATATCCTAGATATTTACACTGTTGGACTTGTTTGATCTTTTCACCTTTGCTAATGAGATTACAACTAGGATTTGCTGCTTTTTTGGATATTACCATGTATTCTGTTTTCTTTACATTCAACAATAATCCTTTACGTTCACTTTCTGTTACAACAGTATCTCGAAGCATTTGAAGGTCCTTTTCGGAGCCTGCTATTAAAACCGTGTCATCTGCATACCTGATATTATTAATATTTTCTCCATTTACTTTGGGGCCTGGACATTCTTCTATGTTTCTAAGGATTGTTTCACTGTACATGTTAAAGAGGTCTGGTGACATAACACATCCTTGCCTCACTCCTCGCCCAATCTGCTTATATTCACGTTATTCTCCATTAGTTCGTACAGCAGCGTTTTGGTCCCAGTACAAATTTCTGATAATTCTTAGGTCTTTTCCATCTATGTCTAGCTTTTCCAGTATTTTAAATATTTCATCATGTCTAACTTTATCGAACGCCTTTGAATAATCTATGAAGCATAAATACAGATCTTTCTGTGCTTAAATACATCTTTCCATTAACATTTGTAAGGTGAATATAACATTTCTGGTGCCCTCACAGTATGTATAGATAAAGTTGGTTACAATAGTACCCTTCCATCCTTGTGTGGCTATATGAGCCTTTTATTGTTCTCAAACAAAACAAAACTGAGTAAATGTGATGCTGTACTTAAAAATAGATACAACCATGCTGGCAACTCTCTTTTCCAAAGTGGGTGCTTTGCGGGTGCGCCGGTGTAGTTTGCTCCTTTTTTTGTATCAAACATCTATTGTCCTTATCTCTCTCCCTCTTCTTTTCTTTGTGTATTATTCTCTAGTAATAACTCTATACTTTTGCTTTTATACGGCTTATTTGTGTTACTTGCAAGTGCTGTAGAACTCTTAACAAAGTAAACTCTTTTCCTAAATATTGTTCAACCTGCGGGGCACCTACCTACCTGCCTCCCCAGACTTTGGAAATACTCTATACAACGACAAAACACAGCTGATAAAAACCTGTAAATTCTTTGCTATATCAACAGGCCGAAGGGCCAGAACTCAGATGGCTGCTGAATCGGAAAAGTAAAGTCAAGTAGTTCTCAGTATTATGTGTAACATTTTTTTCCATTGTGATCCTCAGAGTAAAAAACACGGGTCATGCTTTCCGTCAGATTGTGATGGAGGGAGGGGTGCGTGGTCTGTGGAGTGGATGGGTCCCCAATGTACAGAGAGCTGCTCTTGTCAACCTGGGAGGTAGGTTGGGACTTTTAAAAAAACCCTTCCAGCCCCATGCGAGTATATTTTCAGCAGCGCTTGTACATCCCACCGTCTCAAGAGCGTATATTCTCAGTTTGGGGGGTACCGAATTTGCGCATTTTTCTTAATTAGCAAACCTGATTAAATGTTTATTTTCACAATATTTGTTCATTTACTTTTAGAAATTGTTATATGTGGCAGGACGTGGTGAAAACAGGCGCTCGTCAATTTTAGGGCATGTGGGGTTATTGGTATAATCTTAAAGGCTGTTCAGTTGTCTTTCTATTGTGGAAAAAAATCCCAATCTATCTTTAAAAGAAGATAAGATATTTGAGATTGAAGAAGGTGGGGTCGACTAGTTTCAAAAGTAGAATAAGCGAGAAAATGACAGTCAAAGTTTGGTTATTTCCATAGCTTGACAGTCCATGAACACTGAAAACTTACATTTTTGTGCCTTTAATCAACGTTTTTCAGTACAAATCCACTTACTAATGTGTTCTTAATTGGATAACTATGGTGTTAAGCCAAAAAAAAATATTCTACAAAAATTGCCAAACTGATAGAAAATTGCCAGTTTTTTCAATTTCATTATTTTGACAAGCACCTGATTTCACCACGCTGCCTCACATATGTCATTATTTAAACCTCATTACAAAGACTCTACGTCACTTTTAGAGTGCATGCCTCTTTTTCTGAAATACTGCTGTATTGGCTGGGACTGGGGTTAGAGAGTGCACAAAAATGGCTGGGGCTGGAAGGCTTTACCTTACCACCCTTTCTCTGCCTTATGACGTACCCGGTGAGTGACGTGGGTGGTTGGCGGGTGCTCTGGTGTGGTTTGCTCCTTTTTTCCTATTAAATAACTATCGTCTTTATCTCTCCTCCTTCGTTTTTATGTTTGTTTCTCTCTTGTAACACCTCTAATCTTCGGCTCTTAAATGACCCTGTCCTATTGTGTTGCAAGTGCCGTAAAACTCTGACTAAAACTTAACTTGTAAGTCACGAAAACACAGCTGTAGTCAGTGAGTCCACTGATACTGTGACGTGAGACTGCAGCTGTCCTAGTAAATGAACTTTGTTGAAAACCAATGCTGACAGTCAGGAACACACACCCCCTGGGTTAGATTCGTCGTCATTTGTACAGGCAACTGTCTTGGGACAGGTGGTCATTAGAAAAGATTTGATTGTGCTATATCGTTCTGAAGACAGAAACTTAAAAAAATGTTTTTGAACCTATGCAATGTATCACTGCAAAATGTTTTTGAACCTATGCAATGTATCACTGCAAAATGACTTGTTGTTTGTCCCTGTCAAGTGTATTCTTCTTCTTTGTATGAAAGTAAAAGTTTGAAAAGGTCTTGTGGACAATGCCGTTAATCCCAATATTATTGAAGGCGTACATTTTTTGTCCTATATTTGAACTGTCGCTCGGTCTGTGTGACTTTCACGAGCTGAACTGTACATGTTGCATTGGATGTAATTTTGTGGGTAGTTAGTGGATGATCTGGTGTGGTTTGCTCCTTCTTTCCTATAAAACATCTATCATCCTGATCTCTCCTCCTTCTTTTTTTATGTTTGTTACTCTCTTGTAACACCTCTAATCTTCGGCACTTATGTGACCTTATCATGTTGCTAGTGCTGTAAAACTTTTACTTTAAAAAAAGGATGTAATTTTGTTTCATTTTTAAACTAAGAAACAAGAATGATACACTGACATTATGTAACTTTTTTTTTTTCTTCAGATTTAGCAACGTATGATACAGCAAAGCACTTGATCCTTTCAAAGACTACATTGACAGATAACTACATTACCCATACTTTAGCAAGGTATGATGATAACTATCAACAGAGTTCTCATGGTATTCTGTCATTCTCATATGTGAAGCGAGCTGACAAAATGAATTACTTCTCGGATTCAAACCTTAAGGAGTTAAAGAATATGGCATCAATAGAAAATCTAAAAATTTGACCCTAATGTCGATTTTTGGCCAATATATCCATTTGTGGATTGCGAGAAGTAACTCATTTTGTCAGCACGCCACACATATTTTCACTCGATGATGGGTTTTCTAAGCTGTAGCTGTTGTTGGCTGAAGATTCAGAAATGAAACGTTTGTGGTTTTGGGAAGATAATTTGGGTGTGCCAGAAGATCAGAATATTTTTCTTACAACGAGTTACGTTGAATTTGAAATGAGCTGCAGAAAAAAATACATTTTTTTAGATGTAATTTTAAAAAAATCACAAATGCTGCCCCACTTTCCATTGAAAAATGTTGTGCTTATTATAGTAATTACTTAAAAAAATTTTTGTATGCCAGAGAAAGGGAGAGGGAAAGACAAATGGGGTGAGCTAGAGGAGTTGAATAAAAGAAAATATTTGGTAACAGATGAGATATTCTACCTGGACTACCTCCACCTTTCCTCCAAACTTTCCAGCAGTGACCAGTCTGTTCTGTTTCAGTAGTTTCCATTTGTGAGGCATCGGGGTGAAATCAGGTGCTCGTCAAATAATCAAATCGAAGAAATAGGCATTTTTCCCCCAGTTTGGTAATTTTTATGGAAATTTTGTTTTTTAGCAAAACACCTGTTATGTTCCTATGGAGACACATTTCCATATAAATTTTACTGAAAAGCCTTTTTTAAAATCATAAGAAATATGTATTTGCAGTTTCAAGGATTGTCAAGCTATTGAAGTTATCAAACGTTGGCGGCCATTTTCTCATTAATTTAACCACTGAAACCAGGTTACCCCACCTTCTTGAATCACATATATATCAACTTTAATTCTAGCAAGATGGAAATTTTTTTTCATTGAAAGCAAGGCAAATGAATAAGCATTCAGATGATATCAATTACTCTACATGCCCAAAAATTGACGAGCGCCTGATTCCACCACGTCGTGACACATATGTTCTGTTTCTGTAGTTCTGTTTCCGTAGTTCTCCCTATGAGTTCTCTATCTGTTCTATTTCAGTAGTTCTCCAGTTCTGTTTCTGTAGTTCTGTTTCTTTAGTTCTCCCTATGAGTTCTCTATATGTTCTATTTCAGTAGTTCTCCAGTTCTGTTTCTGTAGTTCTCCTTATGAGTTCTCTATATGTTCTATTTTCAGTAGTTCTCCAGTTCTGTTTCTGTAGTTCAGTTTCTGTAGTTCTGTTTCTGTAGTTCTGTTTCTGTAGTTCTGTTTCCGTAGTTCTCCCTATGAGTTCTCTATATGTTCTATTTCAGTAGTTCTCCAGTTCTGTTTCTGTAGTTCTGTTTCCGTAGTTCTCCCTATGAGTTCTCTATATGTTCTATTTCAGTAGTTCTCCAGTTCTGTTTCTGTAGTTCTCCTTATGAGTTCTCTATATGTTCTATTTTCAGTAGTTCTCCAGTTCTGTTTCTGTAGTTCAGTTTCTGTAGTTCTGTTTCTGTAGTTCTGTTTCTGTAGTTCTGTTTCCGTAGTTCTCCCTATGAGTTCTCTATATGTTCTATTTCAGTAGTTCTCCAGTTCTGTTTCTGTAGTTCTGTTTCTGTAGTTCTCCATATGAGTTCTCTTTATGTTCTATTTCAGTAGTTCTCCATAATATGTTCTGTTTCTGTAGTTGTCTATATGTTCTGTTTCTGTAGTTGTCTATATGTTTATATGTTCTGTTTCTGTAGTTGTCTATATGTTCTGTTTCTGTAGTTGTCTATATGTTCTGTTTCTGTAGTTGTCTATATGTTTATATGTTCTGTTTCTGTAGTTGTCTATACGTTCTGTTTCTGTAGTTGTCTATACGTTCTGTTTCAGTTGTCAGTTTTCCATATGTTCTGTTTCAGTAGTTGTCCATATTTCTCCATATGTTCTGTTTCAGTTGTTCTCTATATGTTGTTTCAGTATTTGTCTGTATGTTCTGTTTCAGTATTTGTCTGTATGTTCTGTTTCTGTATTTCTCTGTATGTTCTGTTTCAGTATTTCTCTATGTTCTGTTTCAGTAGTTGTACATATGTTCTGTTTCAGTATTTCTCTATATGTTCTGTTTCAGTTGTTCTCTATATGTTCTGTTTCTGTAGTTGTCCATATGTTCTGTTTCAGTATTTCTCTGTATGTTCTGTTTCAGTTGTTCTCTATATGTTCTGTTTCTGTAGTTGTCCATATGTTCTGTTTCAGTATTTCTCTGTATGTTCTGTTTCAGTAGTTGTCCATATGTTCTGTTTCTCCATATGTTCTGTTTCAGTATTTCTCTATATGTTCTGTTTCAGTATTTCTCTATATGTTCTGTTTCAGTGCCTGCTCTGGTTTGGTGGCAGCTTTGATGGGAACCCCAGCAGATGTTGTGAAGACCAGAATAATGAACCAGCCGACAAAAGACGGAAAGTAAGTGCGAGAGAGTTTTTTATCAGCCACCCACTCCATTGCTCAGTTTCATGCTGACTTGTATATTAAACTTGGTTATGAAGTTGGCTGACTTGGGAAAGTTTAGGGTTTGCATCCTATTCTAAAGTAAATATTTGACAAATGATAATAGTAATAGTGCATCCTATTCTAAAGTAAATATTTGACAAATAGCAGCTTACATTTGTTTATCAGGATACAAACAGAAAAAGATATTGTCAGTTTGTTTGTATTAGAGCGCATAATTGGCTGCTTAGAATACTTTATTTATGCTTTGCTGGAAGCTGAGAATATTTCTGAGTTTTCTAGGGTCTTCTGAGGTAACACTGTTTTAAAAAATTTTTTTTTGGTAAGTGTTTTATGGTGCTCGCAACTGCATAAGGTCATATGAGCGCACGGGACGCATCAAACATTTTCTGTTGGTAGGAAATTTTGAATTTTGCCCAGATGGCGGACGAAGCCTATTCTTATCAATTTTAGACCATCAAGGGATCTTAAATGTGGGCAACTTGCACACAGGACCTCTGAGATTTTTTGCCTTTGTCCGAGAAGGCTAGGTGTAGATCTTTCCTACCGGAAGATCAGGGGTGTGGCTGAAAGGCAGCATTAAGAGGGAGCCAAGGAGTAGCAGTAGAAGGGCTGCATAAAGAGTCTGGAGCCCAGAGGAGGGGGCAAAGGGGGTTAGGGGGTGGGGGGACATTGAGGATTGCCTTGTTAGTGAGACAAGATCCTGGGCCTTCGGCATATTAGTTAGTTAATAGTATAGGGTTTTACGGGGCTCGCAACTGCGTAAGGTCATATGAGTGCGCTTCGGCATATTGTGGTAGGGTGGCCAGTTCCTTTCCAAGCCGCCTTTACTTCCACAACTCGAAGTCAGGTACCCATTGATATGTACGTGTATAGATTTTAAAAATCAACAGCTATATACAATGTTGTCAGATATATGTGACACTACGCGGTGGAATCAGGCGCTCGTCAATTTTTGGGCATATGGAGTTATTGGTAACATCTTAAAGCTTGTTCATTTGTCTTGCATTTGGTGAAAAAAATATCCATCTAACTTGAATAGAGGTTGAGATATTTGCACTTGAAGGGGGTGGGGGTCGCCTGGTTTCAGAGGTAAAATTAGCGAGAAAATGCCCGCCAAAGTTCGGTCACTTCTATATCTTGAGAGTTCTTAGAAACTGAACATTTTAACATTTTTTGTGCCTTTAGTCGACTTTTTCAGTGAAATATCACACAGAAATATCCTTTTAAATGTACATAAAAGGTGTTGAGCCAAAAAACAAAAAGTCGATAAAAATTGCCATACGGGAGGAAAAGTGACTGTTTCTTTTTTTTCCAGTATTTTGACGAGCTCCTGATTCCACCATAATGCCTCGCATATTAAGTGCATTGATCGAAAGTCAACAGCTGTTCACAATGTTGTCTTTTTTGTTTCAGGGGTCTCCTCTACTCAGGGTCCATCGACTGCCTTGTGAAGACAGTCAGACAGGAGGGCTTCTTTGCCCTCTACAAAGGCTTGCTGCCTATATGGGCCCGCATGGTGAGTACGGGGACAGTCTTCAAATGTTGGTGGTGGGCAGGATAACTGGCGGTAGAGGTTTTGACAATAATAAGAATATTATCTATACATATTATATTTGCGAAAGTTCGTCGCTTTGGCCGCCTAATGTCTTTGTTGTCTGTGCCTGGTGTCCCCCCCAGAAGAGAAATACCACGCCATGAACAGGCTAGTGAGTGTGTTTTCCGTTAACTCAGTGGGTGTCATGCTGGTCATACGGAGCAGATGGCCCTGGTTAGAATCCAAGACTGCGTTCTTGAACTCGTGTTGAATTAGGTTTAGGGCGAATGATATATTGTCGTTGGTTATGAATGTCAGTAATAATAATAATAAAAGTCCATCCATCTTGAACCGATTATGATATCTAATGTCCAAGGTGGAATAGAAGTTATTGATCTTGCTAGCTACTGCACTATCAGTAACATCTGCCTAATACATGTCATTGGTCAGCTGATAACCCTATCCGTACGTCGTGTTTTATTATCGTATCCATAGGACGAGGGGAACTCTGTGCCACCACTTTCCAAAGAGGAAATTTACTCCAATCCATACACTTTGCATAGCAGTCTGTTAAAATGATTTTTTGAGAGAAATACTGAAAGTTTCAAAGAGATCTTCGTACTAGAAGTATTTTAAAATGTGAAGAATACAACCTCGGGGTACAAAATGACCCCAGGCATACGGATAGGATTAAAACGTACAAAGCCCAAAATTCTGAAAAATTTTTCTCTTGCAGTTCTTAAATCTGCTATCGACTGCATGTGCTCAAGAAATATTTTAATGAAATTCAAATTCTAAATGTTGAAAATAGCGCACTCAAAAAAAAAAAAAAACCCATTATGTACGCACTATTTGCTAAAAGAATGAAACACGTTTTTAAAAAAATCTTTCCTGAAAAATTTGGCTTAGTAAATTTTAATAGCTTGGAGAAAGATGTATTTATTTTACTGATTCCCAACATGGTAACATGACCTTTCCATGACCTTTCCATGACCTTTCTGTGACCTTTCCTCAGGCTCCGTGGTCCCTTGTGTTCTGGCTGTCGTACGAAGAAGTGCGGAAACTGACGGGAACCTCTTCCTTCTAGACACCCACTCAAAGTGGAATAGTGGAATATCAGCTACTGGAGTCTTTTTTCTCATCGGAGTTTTTTTTTAATGAATTGTAGTAAAAAATATTGGTGTTATTTGTTGAAATTTATATATACAAATCTATATACATAATATTTATGTATGCTTCGGTTGTTTTAATCAGAAATGGACACTTCACTTTTGTAAATTGATCTAACATGTTATGTATGTATGTGAGAATTGCTTTAATATTCCGTATTCACAGTAGAGTTTTTTTTTTTTTTCAAGTTTTGTGCTCGTATTTATACATCATGTGTTTGTTTTGTTTGTGTTCATCTTCCCAGATCCTGGTGATTTGTTGAGAGACCTCGGATTGTTGCGTTATACAAAGCACTTCACTGGCATCTAAGTTTGAATCAAGTGTTTGTCAACTCAGGTTTATTTATAAGATATATATGTAGTACAGAAAAATCCTGTTGTATACTTAATAGACTTATCGGTTATGCAGTTTATTTTTTTATTTTATTTTATTTTTTTTTGCTGGGTTTGCGGAAAATTTGGTGACGAGGAGGGGAAGCATTGAAATAGGTGTCCCTTTTATTTTAACTCTGATTTTGCGGATGTTTTTAATTGGAAATGATACGAAAGGTGTATATGTTTAATTTTCCAGCATAATTCCGATTAATTATTTCTCCCAGATGGCTCATGACAGACTTTAATAATTGCACGTATATATATAATATATATCTCTGATACACCCTCTGCAAAAGGCAGTGTTGTTTTTTTTGTGCCGCCACCCGTTTTGTTTTTCAGGCGTTTTTACAACTGGACGGGTGTTTTCTGAAGTTTTCTGTGAACACCCCGAGGATTGCATCATGAATTTCCAACTGAAACATTTTTTTTTGCTACTGCAGTTATCGTATTCCTTTTACATACAGGTGTTTGGAATGTAGGTGTTTATCTACGTGTGTGGGTGGTTGGCGGGTGCACTGGTGTGGTTTGCTGCTCCTTTTTTCCTATCAAACATCTATCGTCCTTAATATATCTCCTCGTTCTTTTTTGTGTTTGTTACTCTCTTGCAACACCTCTGTTCTTTGGCACTTATATGACCTTATTGTGTTGCTAGTGACGTTTAACTCTCACTAAAACTAAAAACTGAATAGCAATTTTTTTGTTTGTTTTGGATAGACATTGACTTGTAAATCAAGTTGTATATTGTTGACTCGCAGATTCCATTAGTTGAATATGATTCCTTAGACACAGTATCGTTCTAATTTGTGATCTGAAATGTTTGAGTGGAGAGCTGTCTTTTGGTGGATGGTTGACGGGTGCTCTGGTGTGGTTTGCTTCTTCTTTACTATCAAACATCTATCGTCCTTATCTCTCCTCCTTCTTTTTTATGTTTGTTACTCTCTTTTAACACCTCTAATCTTCGGCACTTATATGAGCTTATTGTGTTGCAAGTGCCGTAAAACACTTACTAAAACAAAATACTAAGACAAAAACAGTATCGTTATAATTTGTGATCTGAAATGTTTGAGTGGAAAGTTGTCTTTTGAGCGTGATAGTATTATTACGAGCTGGTTACTTTTTGAGTCTTTGGACTTTGCTCATACCATAGACTTGTGTTATAACATTTTCCTAGACAGTGTTCTCTGATGTATTTTCTGGACAGTGTTCTCTGATGTATTTCCTGCTCAGGATGGAGTGCACCATTTGACTCGGTTTGAGTCAAATGAAGGGCAAGAAGGGGGAAGATGCAGCAGGCACTCGTCTAAAACGAGGCTGGCAATTTGAACTTCCTTTTTGGGCGCAAGCTTCGCATGGAAGATTTAACATCTTCACTACTGTGTTGACATATTGGGTGAAGTCGCTTTTGTTCTTGAAAATTGGCAGACTGCCATTTTTTGTTTTTTCATTGACCAATAGTAAGAGGAAGGTTTAGGAGATTTTACAACTTATTGTGCTGCTACTTACTATTCAATGACGATGACAAAGTTTTTTTCATCTAGCAGTGAGAAATTTGTCTTGGTCGTTAACAATGGCAGTAGACGTTACAAAGGTTAGGTACACTCATACATACGCACAACTAAGGGGAAAGGAACTATGGTTTGGTTTGAATCTTTCTTGAACAAACGTTTCACATCGTCTGTACAAACATAGATAGAGATATCCTCAGCAGTGAGAGGGTTAATAGAAAGCAAGAGCACGATTATGACAATGTGGGGTCTAGGAAAATGTAAGTCTATGGTTGAGATCAAAGACGTTATGATATGTTGTCCACTTTGCTCAAAGTTAATGTTTTCAATGCCATAATGTTGCCACTTGGCCTTTCTGTGTTGTCTCTGAAGATCAATTGCTGAGCACAAGAAGAAGTGACTAGATCTGCTTTTGGTCGAAATGGAGTTATCGATATGGAAAGTGACAATTTAACCCTATCCGTATGTCATGTTTTACTATCATATCCATACGACGTGGGGAACTCTGTGCCACCTCTTTCCAAAGGGGAAATTTACTCGTTAATCCGATCTGTACGCTTTGCATAGGAGTCTGTCAAAATGATTTTTTGAGAAATACTGAAAGTTTCAAAGAGATCTTGGCACTAGAAGTATTCTAAAATGTGAAGAATAAAACCCCGGGGGTACAAAAGGATAGGGTTAAGCCACTTTTTTTTTACCTCTGTAAATATCTAAGCGGTAGCTTAATTCAGTATTGAGATCCTAACATTTCTTTTTTGACTAAATTATAGCGATCTCAACATCGTCAAAATTTCAAACTTATTTTTCTCGAAGCTGTGAAAAGTGGATATAGATCTAGATCTAGTCACTTCTTGCGCTCAGCTGTTGCCTGATCTGAAGGTCATATGAAATAAGGGTTGTATTGCTCAACATTACAATTTGTTTATTTTTATAAGCAAATGTGTCACGACGCGGTGGAATCAGACTCTCGTCTAATTTTGGGCATGTAGAGATATTGGTATCCTCTTAAAGCTTGTTCGTCTTGCTTTGGATAAAAAAAATAAAGATATCCATCTATGTTGAATAGAAGTCAATGAATGAAGGAGGTGGGGGTCACCTGATTTCAGAGGTAAATATAGTGAGAAAATGGCCGCCAAAGATTAGTTATTATTGCCTTAGCTTGAGGTTCTGTGAAAACTAAAAATGTACATTTTTTGTGCATTTAATCAACGTTTTTCTGTAGAATCCACACAGAAATGTGTTCTTTAATGGGCATGAAAGGTGTTAAGCACAAAAACGAAAATTCGATAAGAGATTCACAAACATGCGGAAAAATGCCAGTTTCTGTCTTCACTTTGATTATTTTTGACGAGCGCCTGATTTCACCGCGCTGCCTCTCAAATGGTTTGTTTTTTTCTGTCCTTGCTATAACGTGGAGCACACTGCTGACTCTTTAGTGAGCTCCGTGCCAATCAGATTAACACTTTGCCGTCACATCTCGTCGATCGGCGATGTTGACCACCCAGTTTCTTTGGATTTTCCCCAAAAAATTGCCTTTGCCTTTGATGGCAAGGGTTTTTACTACATGAGCCGTGAGATGGTAAAGTGTTTAACATGTTTTTGCTTTGTGATGATCTTAATGTTTTCATTATTTATGCATTCAATTTGTTCCCACCTCTCCGCATATATTTCGAGTGAGTGGTTGGGGAATGCTCCGGTGTGGTTTGCCCTGTCTTTCCCATCAAACATCCATGGCCCTTATCTCACCTCGTTCTTTTTTTTGTGTTTGTTACTCTCTTGTTACAACTCAATAATCTTGGGCACTTATACGACCTTATTATGATTGTGTTGCTAGTGCTGTAAAACTCTTACCGAGTTAGTTCTATATCCAAGAAAAATATCAAGATGAGTGAAGAGTTACAGGATCTGTCATTTTATTTGTAATGACCCCATGAAAGCGCTGTTTTTCTTCTGTCACAAATGAACTGTGCCATGCGTTACAAACATGACTTTTGTTTTTTGGTTGTTGTTTTTTTCTCGTGTCATACCTCAGCCACGGTTGCCATGGTTTCTGGTGACTAATGTGCCTTGTTCACAAGGTACCTTTGAGGAGACTTTTGTAATACTTTATCCCCTATTGTGCCTTTCTTGATCAGCACATGTCAATGCCGGCAAATGTCTTGATCAGCACATGTCAATGCCGGCAAATGTAGTGTAGGTCGGTGGTTTGCGGGTGCTCTGGAGTGGTTTGCTCTGTTTTTCCTATCAAACATCCTTTGCCCTTATCTCACCTCGTTCTTTTTTTGAGTTTGTTACTCTCTTGTAACTCCTCTAATCTTCAGC